CCCTGCCAGCACTTGCAGAAACTTTCCTTACAATATTGAAGGGTCAGTGAAAATATCATGTTGACTTAAAACTCACTTATGTATATGAGTCATATGATAATAGTACATAAAATAAGAAATCAGGTATTTTACCAGCTTTTTGCAGTTATGTTTGATTTTTCAAATAGCCTTACAAGTGTAAAAAAATAGTACTTTCCTCATTTCAGTTTATGTCTAAGCAGAATGTTGGTCAACCCCAGAAAACAGCAGAGTAATTACAAGATAGGATAGTAATATATCATGCTTGATAGAATAGAGTTAAGCAATCTCTTAACCCTCTGAAGTCACTCATGTTACTTCAGATACCTGAAAGCTCACACTGCTTCCTCAGTTTTTGACACTTAAAGCACGGAAAACAAGCTTTTCAGATTAAAACTGCTCTTCATCCCAACAGACTTCCCATACCTCCTCCCACCAAAAGACCCAATCTCTGCCCCAGCTTTTTTAAGCTGCTTGGCTCAGGTGACCTCCAATGTGCTAGCACATCTGCTGGCCCAAAGCATCAGTCATCACTGCAGTAGTTTGGTAGACAGGTACCTCTACAGCAAAGTGTAACCGGGAAAAAATTTGTGTAAAAGTAAGGGCATTCGTCTTGGTTTTGAGATGCAAAGATTGGTTTTGAGATTCTACAAAGCCAGACTGAGAGAGTTGGGGTTGTTCAACGTGGAGGAGAGAAGGCTCCAGAGAAACCTTATAGTGGCCTTCCAGTGCCTGAAGGGGGCTGTAGGAAAGCCTGAGAGGGGCTGTTCACAAGGGTGTATAGCAAAAGGATGGAGGGCAGTGGTTAAAAACTAGAGCAGGGTAGATTTAGGTTAGACATTAGAAAGAAGTTCTTCACTAGGTGAGACACCAGAACAGGTTTCCCAGCGAGGTACTGGAGGCTCCATCCCTGGAGACATTCAAGGTCAGGCTTGATGGGGCTCTGAGCAACCTGATCTAGTTAAAGATACCCCTGCTCACTGCAGGTGGGTTGGACTACGCGACACTTTAAAGGTCCCTGCCAGCCCAACACATTCTATGATTCTCTGCAAATACTGAAATGTTGAAATCGGGATGCCACCACTGGGCAGATAAAGCCCAATATTAAAAAGTACGAGTGCAGCTTCAGATCAGCAGTATCGGCAGGGTTGAAATAGCACAATCCCAGGCTATTGTCCTACCCATGATGAAGCATCTCTGAAATTGTGTTAATTTCTCAAATTGCTGTAGCAAAGAAAACCCTGAGATACTCTCTCCTAGTCATAAAATAAAGCTGTAAATTTTTGGTAAGTCCTAATTAGTTGTTGCTTTTCAAGATTTATCTTAAGTCACCTTTCTCATGCATTCAGTCACCTTCACACAGTGTGTCTGAAGTGACAATACAGATTTTAAACATCAGCCAGGCCTGAGAAGCAGCACAGGTAAGAGTGTCTCAGACTTGCTAGTACCCGATGACTCCAGAGTGTAATGTAACAAATACACATGACGTAAAACCCCAATACACAGCTGTCCACTTGAAAAATGTACCTTTTGTCATTCACCCTGGGAAAATACTCTCTTGCCAAAGAAAGGCTTTTCTTGGCACAGTTGGGAAGTTCACCTGTCAGAGCTGATTTCATTGCGTTCATCTTTTGCAGAAAAGGACACACAAGCCTCAAGCATATTTCTGCAGTAACAAAGTCTTTCCAGAACATCCCAGCTAACAATCCTGTACTCCCATTACAGCTCAGCCTCTGCCAGGGTCACGCTTCCAAGCTTGTCTTATCTATCACCATTAGTCCGACAGAGATGTTGAGACATTCCTAGAACTCTTGTTATTTATGTGCAGAAGGAACTAACTCTCTCCCACCATATTGCATGAAACAGTTTCACAATGTTTTCCTTAGCTTTATCATAAACCTTTAATACAGTATATAAAAAAACCATACTACTTCTGTATAAATTTGCATCATATTCCCTTGCTCATGCGCTCCAACTACCCAGAGGTGCTCAGCTACATATAATCAAATTTGTATTTTTCAGCATTGACATTTCCTCTGGGCAACTGCACTTAAAACGGATAATTTTTAGTGCTGCTCCTTGACTGCCTGCTTATCTGCAGCTAACCCTCAAAATATAAGCAGTTTTGATTTTAAACTGAAGGCAATTACATAAGCACATTTTGTCCTCATTTCCATATAATAAAATAATTCAACCGTGACTAGCTACACTGTACTCAAACTGGTGTCAGCTGAGAATTAAATCTATCCTTCCGTGAATGAGTGCAAGCTGAACATACAGATGTCGCAGCTGGAATACGAACTCCAAATATAGCTCCTCATTTGCTGCCAAGCACTGTGTCTTGCATCCTTCCATTACTCCAGCCACCAAATAACATAACTGCATAAAAAGTCACCACTACATATTATTCCTAAAAGTCAACAGTCAGTTTATTAACACTAGCTATGACTGACATCTTGATGTACTATTATGTAGGGACTTAGGACTTCATCATTCAGGCAAATCCAACTCCATCACAGTGATAGGAAATGCTCCATACCACAACCCATACCACAAAGTTTTGTATGAAAATTTCACAGTAAAGATGTAAAAGAGAAGGTGAAAGAAAACAGTTAAAAATAAAAGTTACACTGCATAAGCCACTTTTGGAATGTATCTTCACTGGTGAAAATTCACTCTCACTCAACTGAGAAAAGTAAATCAATTTAGAAGTGTATGTACTTTTAAGAGGGCAAGAGAGAGTTGACTGATTTTAAAAGAAAATTCTTGTAGAGCTGGGAAAGAAAAAAAGAACTGCAAACTACGGTTAACTAAATATCTAGTCTATTAATGGAGCCCAGAAATTACTGAAGTAATGAAACAGTAAAACAGACACTGAAATGAAGAATCCTTCCCTCTCCTCTGTATTTATCCTAACACTAGAATATTAACTTATTTACACTGATTAGCAGTCTGCTACAGCCAGCAAATCAATTTTTACTGAACGTGTTTAATGACCCTCACTTTATTGTACTAGGTTCGGTATCGAGTGGTTCATGTAAAACTGAAGTGCAGAGATTTGACACTAATTCTAATGTAACACATTAGCTGGTACACAGCTCCACTATCTCACCTCCTTACTGGCAGCTAGGACCCTAAGCTAAGTCAAAAGGAACTTGAGAGCTTTGCAGAAACCTTTCACTCAGATTGCTTACCCATTAAAGCAGAGGACAATATGGCAAAAGACCTGGTCATGACACTGTTTTCCCTTCAACTTTGTTTATTGATGTACTGAACATGAAAAAGTACAAAGGATCCAAACACAAAAGAAAACATGTACAACCTCTTAAATACTCAACAGAATATATTTTCTATTCCAACAGATGTGAATTAAGTCATACTATACAACTTCAAATAAATACCAGCCTTATATTTTACTAAGTGCTCTGATAAACACTGTAAAGTGAAGCCCAATTTACATGCCTTCTCATCAATGCCGTTAGTTGCTACAGTAGTATAGGAAAGAAGCATGTAGCTACTGTTTTCCCCACATTGGAAAGTTTGTGATTACTATAGCATATACAAATTTTTTTATGCAGAGGATTAGCTTTAACAATCTAAATGCACCTAAGAATGAGGAAGTGCTCAGGAAGCCAATTGATTTTTGAATAGCATTGAGTGGGTCAGCATGAAAACTCGCTTATTCACTTTAGCACGCGCTTCACAGTATATGTATTGTACTATACTGAAAAATTTATAACTACAATTTAAAAGAATAAGAACCAAAAGCAACTGCAAAGATAGTGTACAACTATGTTATGCATAGAACATTGCTTTTTCTAAGGGGAAGCATATGAGCATCTCAGTTTATACAAAAAGCAGGACGTAACTACATAGTTGTCAGTGCATCCTGGTGAAGGCATTAAACCCTCAGCTTCTCTTTTAAAAATTTAATTATAAGCTAGATGCTAATCAGAAAATATTCTGTATTTTTTCCTTAAATTTCTTCAATACACGGTAAAGACTTTTTCCTATTTCCCCAAATAGTGATTTAAGCATCATACAAAGTTAAATTTCAATAGCATACAGGTATTTATGGTTTTTGTATGAAAAATGTAAGGAAATTTGTTCAAAACCTATTATTATACTCGTTTTTTTTTTACCACAAACATATTTATAAACAAAAATGTAGCATCACCATAAACAGCTGAAGCTAGACTATCTACAGACAAAAATAGCAACAGATCTGATGCACTGTAAATTCAAGTCCTCAGGACAACAAAAATGAATAAGCAGACCTCAAGTAACAATGTTAATGCCATTTACAAAGAAAAAACTCATACAAAAACATTCAAAATTGAACATCACTTGGCATGTAACTTAAAAAATAAACTAAATTCGAAATTAGCTGAAAGGTCTTATTTACATTACACAAAGCTCAGGTGTTAGCCTTTAACATAACTTTCAAAATACCTCCAAATATACCCAACTCGGGCAACTTCTGATTTGCTACTGCACAAACTATGCTCAATGTCTTTTCTTAAGACAAAACAACTCTTCAAACAATAGCAAGTACATCACTAAACACCATGAGCTCTATCTGAAGGGAATTCTTTAGGAAGAACAGATTTTTTTTCCCCCATCTCAGTATTTTAAGTTTCCTGCTTCCTCGTATATTATTTTTTTTAAATTTTCATTTGTTTCAAAATCACAAATTAATGTGAGCCACCTATCACTTAATAACCAGGATGATCAAAGACTCCACTGATGATTACAAAAATGAAACCAACAGTGTATCCCGTTGACTCTACTTCTGAATACAAAGGTCTCAAAAGATTTTCTACATCATAAATCTGTCTAAATTTTCTCCAACAATTGCGAATTTCCTGGTAAGTTTTAAAAGCTCACTAGGTGTCATATGAAGAGATTTCTCAAAGTATTCAAGTCAAAATATTTGTTCCAGGACCAGTAAAAAGTTTCTCCAAATTTTTTTTTTTTTTTTATAAAAATAGATGCTTTTTTAAACCCACATCAAAGAGGCTCTTATCTCTTTGGCAAGGTACTGCTTTACGAAAAGTTCTCCAGTATTCTTACAATAAGCTTTTGTAATGCGTTCCCATTCCCCAACCCAAATGATAATTACAAAATAAATACTGCTTACAACTTTATAAATAAAATGTAAACTTCAAATACTTTTCTTGAACAACAAAACAGCAATGCATTAGAATGTAAATTAAACACGAGGCAAATTAAGAAATAACATAAAAAACCAAAGAGTATAACACAAAGCCTCAATATTTACTCATAGGTTAAAGGCAGTCATGTATAAAGAAAAAACTTCTTCCCTTAGCTGAAACATTTTAAAAGGTCCACCTTCTTCAAAGAAGGCAATAGAATATGCATTGTGACAGGTAAAAACCCTGCACCTCCTGTCAATATTCAAACACAAAAGATATTTAAGAAGTTTTAATTCAAATATCAGCAATAAAAAAATCTCACATATTCTTAGGATGCTAAGTAGTCATTTTATCCCCATTTCCACACTGTCATACAACAAAGGCATTTACTAATGCGTGAAGCTTCTCGTAAACTGCCTTTGTTGTATAGTTTTCATGTATTAATGCACTGAGAATAACTTGTTAGGCTTTGTGCGTTTTGTTTGTTTTAAAGGAGACCTGCAGTACTCTGTCCCCGAGGCGGTATCCATTCAAGCTGGCTATTGCCATAGCTGCCTCATCATAGTTTGTCATAGTCACAAATCCAAAACCTTTGCACTTGTTGGTGTTAAAGTCACGGATGACCTTCACATTGGTTACCGCTCCGAAGGGTCCAAACATTTGCCAAAGAATACTCTCGTCAGCATCAGGAGCCAAGTTGTACACAAAAATGCACCATCCAGTTCCTGCATGTCCAGGGATATTAATTCCAGCCAAACTGGTCATTCCATCAATGGTCATTGGAGGAAACCTACTAAAGAACAGGGAACACAAAACAGGACAGTACAGTAGTCATTTGTAGAAAATTCCAGCCACGAAATTTCAAAATAAATTAAAAAAAAAAATTTACACAGCACTTTTCATAGTATGAACATATTTGGCCAGACTAATAAGGTGACATTGCAAATGCTTCCACCCCCAACTGCAGAAATACTATATGCAATATTATACACAAGTAGAGGGAACAGTGCTAGGTCTGTCTGAAATGAAGTAACACAGAAACACAAAAGAAAAGCATACTAATTAGTAAGTAATTTGAAACAGGAACTCCACAGAGCTGCTAAAAATGGCTTGTCTCTTTCATGCACAATACAGCAAAATCAACAATTTCAGCTGAAATCTTAACATGCAAAAATCTAACACAAGTCTTACTGAAAAAGTAAGAGTATGCAAAATACTGAACAATAACTTGGTTACTATGAAACTTAGAGTCTTTTATTACCTCTTTACTCCATAAGCCATGTTGAGCAGATTGTCCAACCTGCAAAACATTTAGCGCAGTGTTCAGTCTGCAGACTTTCACACCTTTTCATCTCAAGGAAATCTGCTGTATTACTACCACACCCCTTGCACTGTACGAACCTCATGCAAAGGTAAAGTATCACCACTGAAAGAGCTGAGGCACCTTATTATACCTGACACGGTGACTACAAAAGATGTTCTTGTGTAGTGTCCACAACCATCAATAGTTAGTTCAGAAAATGTACCACTACCACAAGTTTGGCCTAAGTCAAATACTAATAGCTTAAAGCTAGAGGCAGTGACCACCTCAGTGAAGTTTTCCAGATTACTAACTTGTTTTGGATGGAGACTCCACTGAGGGTTTCGACACTCTGGCGGCATGAGAACTCAAACAAATGCAGGGTTTTGGAGCTGTAACAAACATCAGAACTTGAAATTTTTAAATTTGTTACGTTTCCTTCATGTATTTCTTTCCTCACCTTTCCCCAAGCTGCTAAACCATAGTATGCTACCACAAATTGAAACCCTTTGGAATTACCTAGCCAATACCCAGAATATGCAGCATCCACCACCATTTCTATTAATCTTATTCCTGAAGTCCCTTAAAAAGTGCTTCTCTAAGAAGATTTCTGCCCTAAAGCAGCTCTGGTTTCTTCTTGGCAAAGCCCAGACGTGTGAAGTCTTATCTCCGGAATGCCACAAAATACGAGCTTAGGTAAAAAAGGTACACTTGATTTAGTTTACAGATAGCTTGCAGAGCTATAACTCACTGCAATTTGTCTCTCATAATCAGCTACAGTATTTAAGAACAATATGGGTTTACAAAATCTTAAGTGTTGCAGTAGTGTAACACACTTGTGCACAAAAAGACTTCAAGAGAAAAAAAAACAAACCACACACACATTTGGTGTTGCTTACAGCTAAGCAAAGGTCTCAAACTACAGAACATTATGATTCTGCAGTGAGCAGAGTTTGTGGGATGCATCAACAAGAAAGCAAGCCACTGAACCACTAAAAAAAGCAGAATGGAGGAAATTAAATGGCTGACTACTATCAGTAGTTAGTGTGGATGACAGAGGTATAGTGTCATTAACATTCTGGTGTGGAGAAGGTTAAGTGTTCCAGAAACATCACCACCTACAGATCCTCCATGTAGAGCAGTCAACTGAAGACTTCATACAGTAAAGGTATCACTGGAACAGTTTTCAGTAGTTACCTGCATGACTTAAAAATATTTTGAAAAAATTCTAAAGGACATTCACTGGACAACTTTTAAAGATGCTTTAAGCTAAACATCCCATGGAACCTGAGGAACAATTATATAGAACTGTTTTTCAAAGTCCAGCTCAAGATTTTTCTTAATAATGAGAAAGCCGCATGATAAAATTAACTAGACAATCACAGTTACATGCAGATTCTACCCCAGCCAGTATGAGAAAAAGTAGACAAGTATCTGGGAACAAGAAGAACTCATGGAGTCAACAGGCCAGACTTGCCACAATATGCTGAATACTGTGGTATACAGGCTGTGCAACAGCTCCCTCATGATTTTATTTCACATAATGCAGCTGGGTCCATCTCACAAGTGCAACTTCTGCCTCTGTGCTCTCTGCCTATGGAACAACGGTATGCCCACAGTTACTCAGTATTCTGCAAACTGTTTAAATTAGCTGTTGTGTTTTTGTGTTTCTTTTTTTTTTTCCCCTAAGAAATGGCAGGGAATTCTACCAAATACTGAATAAAATTGGCTAATGCTTCCCTCAGGGCAGAAAGCCTGCTCTAGTGCTGACCTTAACACCTGGGAGACACTTGCAGCACGTAAGGCTGAGAAGCTGAAGAGCAGAAGAGTTCAGAAGTTCTGCCAGAAGAAGTGCAGTCCATGAACTCCGAATATCTGGCCTAAAAGCAACGGTAGCCAAAGCAGAGCTTTTGAAGTCAACTATATTCTCTTTGAAGCTAACTGCCAGCTGATTTTATTTTGTGAAAATAAAATAGAAACTGTTTGAGTATATATTACTGCTTAACGCATTCCAGTCACATAGCCCAGGGGCAGAGCGAGGAAAGAAATCATCAAAATCACTGAAAAAAAAATCCAGAGTACTCATTCTGACCATCTGTCCTTTTCAATACACTAAATATCACAAAGAACTGCATAGCTGTAATTGCAGCATGACAGGAACATATAGCCACAAAACACACATGCAGAAAATAATTGAATAATCTTCACTACAAAAGTTTGTAATAAGAGAAGACAAAACATAGCATGCATGTCTTAGACAACAGGCTAGAAAAAATATGTGAAATGGAACAAGGAGGAAAGATAGGGGGTGGGGAAGAGGAGGCTGCCATAAAGCCAAGAAGGAAATTGCACTGCCTAGGTCAATGCTAACTGCATCAACTTGCACATTAATCAGTAATAATAGAGGAACTGAAATTAATCTTTAGAAAGGGATTTTTTTTAGTGGCTACGTAGAAGAAAAAGATGTCATCTTGGTTTAGCTCTAATTAATTAGGTTTATTAGGTATCGAAATGCTATCAATAGGATTGAATGCATTTTTGCTTTTAGCTGTATTGTAGGAGCATAGCTGAAGTTCAACCTTTTCATTCACTCGCTTCACACACAGAAATCAGACAAGCAGGGAAGGGAAATAGTGGAAGGGAACAAACAGGCCCAGAGGAACATGTGGCTTCCAGTACAATTGCACTTAAGTGTGTATTTGACTTACCGAAAACGTTGAGCCTGCTGAGCTAGAGGTGCCGGATACCTTCTGTTTGGAGAATGGTACAGCTGGGAAAGGATGGCCTGATTGGTTTTTTGGCTTGGATTGTTAGCAAACTTTACGGTGATGGGCTCTGTGGCACCTGGAGGCTTCTGGCCATTCAAGCCCTTGATAGCCTCTTCTGCTTCAATTCGCTTGTCAAACCGGATAAACCCCACGCCCCTTGATACCCCTGCACAGGGTGAAGAAAGCATATAATAAGTCATAGACTCTGGAGTATTAGATCTTAACATTTGTTTTTCAAAGGCAATTGCTATTATAATGGCCAACTGCCATGAACAAATGATAATTTGCAGCTTATTAGAGCTAAGATTTTGCTCAAGGTAGTAAGCTAGCAAACACAATGAGCCAAAGGGTGATTCTGAAACACAAGCAATTTTGGGAGGGATAGAGGTGAATCAGAACCAGCTGCACTGTAAATCTCTCTTCAGGTCATGCTACTCTGCAGTATCTAAATTCACAAATTATTCTGTAAATACCTTGTTCATCTGCTCCCTAGCAGCAAGAAAGGGCTTGTGCTCTGCTGCAGAACCCCTTGAAGGTCCCTTTGGAGAAAATATACCAAGGAGAAAGAAAGGAATGCAGGTTCTAGATTGCAGTAATGAGAATTACGACCCTGTTTTAACAGTCTGTGGTCACCATTGGTTACCAATGTAATTGTTGGAGGTTGTCTTGAAAGCGATCATGTAATGCTAGAGTTCTCCAT